TTTACACTTCAACACGCTTTTGCTATAATTTCCTGTACGCCAACAGCCACACTGAAATTCCACACACAGGCTTATTCATATCTGAGCTGCGCGTTGGCTCTGCCTGTCTGCCAGCCTGCCCGAACTAATTCGAAATAACTTTGTAGTTATCATATTCTAATAAGAACTTACTTTGGGAATATTGCCTTGTTAATTGCATTGACAGCTGCCAGGAAATGACCTTCATCCGGCCAATTGCAGTTTGGCAAATTGGCTTTTAACTGATGCTCTAGGCAAATATGCAAACGGCGCCTTTACAAATGGAAATTGAAAGGCAGACGTGATTAGCATCGACCTAGAAAACTTTCTAGCGCACACCCATTGAGCAATTGAGTCACAAATTTGGTAAGATAACAACAACAGCAACAACAAAGGCGAAAAATGTTTAACAATCGACGCGTGTTGTACAAATTTCAATTTCGATTGGCTGCCCGTTTTAATTGACATGCAACGCATCGTGTCGGGCTCTTGGCCCGGCTTTTAAACGAGTGTCGCCATCGGACCAAATTTGCCATTGCATTGACCAAAATGGGCGCCTCGTCGACATCAATTGCGTCAGCAGCAATCAGCAGCAACTATTGAGCAATTGGTCAAATGCTTTTCACTGTGTCAGGTTCAAACTTGAAACATGTCCGCTGCCAGTCGCAGCTGACGCACAACGCCGGTCTGGGAAAGCACAAATAATTTGGCATAACAAAATACTGTGTGCTGTTCACGTCATGATTTATTAATATTCGGTTGATGTAATGGAACTATATATTTTCTGTACTATATACAAATATTTGGGGCAAGCTGTTATTGTATTTAGAATAATACAACATGATCTAAAAGCATTTTTCCTGACTGATTTGGTGGATAACATGATTTTTAGTTCATAGTCAACTGCGCTTTTTGTTTGTACAACATTTTCATTATATTTCCCCGCATGGGTGCAGATCGGCCTTGTGAAATATACATTTATATATATTGACATCTTCAGAAACAGCTTAACACACGTTTTTGTTTTAAATTTTCCACGCTGTCTCTTGTTACATTGCCGTGAACAATTTTTTGGCATACTTTTCACATAATTTTTCTTCATTTTGGGCCATCAATCAGCTGTCAGTATGTGACATACTTAATAATTACGTATACGCAGCGTGCGGCACCCGAAGATTTTAGCGAGTATATTGCATGCATTAAATGAAAATTGCTAATCTTAAATGCCTGCAATTTGATGTTAGAGGCAAATACTTGTTTACTTACATATATTTATATATTTGCATGAGGACTACTACATTGATGAAATTTTGCGCCAACACTCAAGACAAATACTTCAAATACCACTTGAAAGCCGACGCAATTGTTGCAAAAATGAAAAGCGTAAAGTGTTTTGTTGAAAACGTTCCTAAAACAACACATAGAATGCCTGCCGACAAATGTAAACAAACTGTGGGCCCAAAAAAGACGCCGTCGACGCAGTCAATAAAACAGCACCAGCTGACGCCAGTTGGAAGCGGGGGACTGGGTTGAATGGGCTGCATTGAAATCAAAATAAAAACTGCGCGGAACGGAGAAACATTTGCCATGCAAATAGGGCTTAAAAAATGCTCCACTCTGACGAACATTCGAGTGCAATTAAATGCAAAATATTTAACAATGCATAAAAATGAAAGAATTGTTCGCAAATTTGGAGTTAAATTATAAAAGTGATGCCCCCAATCAATGGCCATGTTAATTGCGCGCAATATATGCAGTATATGTGTTGATTTTTTACTTAATTGTTACATACAGAAGCACCGTGTTTAACAATATATATTGAGAACGACTGTAGAGTAGTATACAACCGACTATCGAGGCAGCTTCTTCGTTTTTGGCAACGCCAGCTATTCACCCGTCATTTGCAGGACAATGGTTTCCGAAGTCGATTGGAGAATAGAATATCGCTTGCTCGGTGTCCTTAGGCACGTTGAACTCACATTAATCACAATAAGGATTATCCGTATGCTTGAACTGGTTTAGGTAAAGCTTGAAGCATCCATCCGGTCAGTATCTGGGGCAAGTAAGAGTCCACATGTGTGTGTCGGTGTGTGTTTGTGTTGTGACTGCATTGTTTTAAGTGGCACTCGGTTTGCACAATTCAAAAAACGTATGCACCAGGCGCAGACTAGATCATTCTGACAGACAAATTAAGTGCTGTGAAGGAAACAGCGACAAAAACAAAAACAACCCGTTTTCCGTTAAGTGCTCTTATATGATGGCAGCCAGTGGAGACCACCTCACACCTTCACCTTTAGCTAGTGCATTATATGCTGGAACAAGTAACTTTGCCGCGTCGTGGCTTGTTATACTTTCTTATTGGTTATATATGAAATTGAATACATATGTCGACACATTTAATTTAATTCTCAATTCACAAAACATCCGTGCTTGCCTGACTTTTCGAATAAAGAAAGAAAGAGACTACATAATTCGGTTATATCTTCATTTCTACTCCCGAAAGTTTCTGATGATGCCCATTGGGGGGCAAGTAAATCACAAATATCGGAATCACATAAAATGTTTTTAAACGGGTAGATTAATAATCTCTTTAAACGTTCTAACGTTCCTTAACTATTAATTAAGTATTTATTTTTTCTATCTGGGCTCAGCTGTGTGCACAGAGTATTGAGCAGTCGACTACGTTCGACTGCAGCGAACACACTGTTTTTTCATGGCACATCGAAATGAATTTTCGAAGAATTTCGTGTAAATTCAACATGACAATTTTCTTTCTAGTCGCGAACATCACTGGCATAGAATATCTACGCGTACGTAAGCGTACAAAAAATAAATAAATATATGTAATACCTATGTGTATTTTATATATCTTGCCGCACAACACGGCGAATGCACAAAGTGTGCGCCAATTTGCACGGCGGATTACATCACAGACTGGGCAAAAGGGGAAAATGAAGGCGCAAGAGGGTGGAAAAGCATCTCAACATGTCATATGGCTTGCATTTAATTAACAAGCTAATTTTTTAAAACACAAATCGCTGGGCGTTGCAATGCAAAAGAAGAAGATCAACATGAGGATCAGAAAAGAATGGGGCGGGGGGTGGGGGCGACAGAGTTGCCGCCCGTGTGTGGTCAGAAGAGATTGGGCGGTGCCAAAAATATGAAAACTGACATTTGTGTGCCTTCACAGTGCCTGCTCTTTGGGTAGCCTAATGAGATGAGATACGAGCCGCAACCAATGCATAAGACATGGTTTATTATTGGATGCAAATGTTTCTCTGTACAACATTTTTCTTATCTTTGATGTGATTTGGGCTAATTTTGGAACACTTTTCTTATACTCTGTTCACAAAATGAAGAGAGTACATTGGTATTGCGAAATGTCTTCGAACGCGAAGTTATGATACTTTGAAAATATAAAACGATCCACAAAACTTTCCAAACAGACTTTGATCTTTAAAGATAGGCCAGTCAATATATTGGCAAGATATAGTAACTGATAATCTTAAGTTTACAATTCTTCAATCTACAATAATTTGATTTTAAAAAGTTGTCCATTATAGTTTCCTGCTTGTTCTGAAAATAAACATATCCATTTTAAATATTTAACTTTACGATTTTGATACCATATTGCTGCGTATTTTGTACTAATTAAGATTTGTAGAATTTCAAAAGTGACAGAGATTGCTGCTTCTGTCAGTTTTAAAATTCCCCAAATATCTCTAACGTTTTGTTAAATCCCAAAATTAATATCCATTGCGGGTAGCCAGACAAGGCAAGCGTTGTAACCAACAAACACAACAGCAGGCAACAAATTTACAGTAAAACATATTAAAATGCCACTCACACGATAATCCCCCTTTTTCCATTGCTTGCCTTGCCTTCTCGCTATATTTTACTGCCCCTCTCGCTCGGCTACTCTCAAATGACAAAAAGTTTGCCGACAAAATGGTAGGAAAGGTGGAGTTTGGCTTTGCATTATGGGGATGGGATGGGTTTTTATTTAGCTACAATAAGCTGCAAATTTTGCATATTTCATAGATGTTGACAGGTAGCGCTGTATGTGTATGTGCGTGTGTCTATGTGGGGTGGCGGGTGCCAGGTAACCCAAGCAAAATAATGGCTTAAATTTATACAAATCAAAATTGCAATTTAGAGCAGGCAACGCTACTCGCCCACGTATTCGTGAATGTGTATGTGTATGTATATAAATGTTTGTGTGTGTGTGTAATTCGCAGTCGCCTTTGTCTACCCAAGAGCTTAGCGGCTACCATAGATACCGGTCATGGGTTACCTGCAAATATAAACTATATGGATTTAATTTTGCACTTTTATGGCAGAAAGCGACCACAGCAACACACACACACACACACAGAGAGGGACAAACATTTTTGGTAGTCCAGCCAAAACGAAATGCGTCACCATAAATACAACTAACAATCAGTACACAGTGCCAGACTGTTAGATATCCATCTCAAGTGGCCGTTGCTTACTGAGCTACAGGAAAACAATCTTGTATCTAAATAAGAGTCCAAGCCAGAGCAAAAAACCACACGCTACTAACAAGAATTTTCCTTTAGTTTCCAAAAAATTGATGTCCAACGTTCTGAGAGCGACCTATGCAAAAAATTCGGGAACTAAGAATATTTATTTAAGGTTAACTCGATATGGCCTTTGAAATCCCAGGTTACAAGATATTAGTACTTCAATTCGAGCTCGTATCTCAGGATTCTTTTATCCGAAGCCCATAGTTGCTATTTGAAAAGTCACTTTGCCAATGTATGGCTACATTCTATAACTTATAGTAAGGATAGCATATTTTAGAACGTTATCAAAATCATGATTGCAAAACCTAGTTGGACATTTGAATATATTTTATCTAAACTAATACTCGTTATTTATTTTTTTAATTTACATAAAAACCCAAAAAGGATAACCATACTAATCCGATACCCTCCTCTGTCTGCCTCTCTCATTTGCAGCACATGGTGCAGGCTGGCGTGGCGCCTTTTCCAGGCGCACCAGCTGGCTATGCCGCCGCGCCCGGACCGGCCGCTGCAGCCGCTGCTGGTGCGCCCACAGCGGCCGAGAGCTTGTCGCTGGCCGTGACAGCAGCCGCAATCAAAACTGAGCCTGGAATGCAGCTAAAAGCAACCGCCGAGTCTGCAGCAGCGGGCAATGGCAGCACAGGAGCCACCGGTGCAACACCAGCTTCTGTAGCAGTGTCCACCAGTGTTGCCGATGGTGTAGCCGTCAATGCGCCGTTGTATATTCAACAAAAGGTGAGTTTGCCCAGTCAACTACTACATTAACTACACTCTTACACTCTATATTAGTGTATGTAAGTGTGTGTGTGTGCGTGTGGAAGTGTGTTTGTATTTTGAATTGTATTTTGTAGCATTTTTTGCTTTGGCTTTTGGGTTCGGTTTGGTCTTGCTCTGCTTTGATTTGGCTTAATTTGGTTGCATTCCATTTTGTAGTCGTTGGCTGTGCCTATAAATATGCACAAACTCACGCACACACACACACACGCACACACACGATTACACAACAAGCGCCATGTTTGCTGCTGCTGCTTTTACATTTTTGATCACACGCGTTGCGAGCATAACTGTAAATACCAGCAGCAGCAGCAGCACGCAGAGAGCACAATCTAAGCTCTCTGGCGCTCACAATTTAGCATTCATATTTTGTATAGCATACTTTTTGGTGCTGTCCCAGCACGTCGCTTTGGTTATTGTCTATGCGCAGCAGCAAACGCTGGAGGATATTTTGCTCAGCTCTGTGGTTTACTGAGTTCGCATAAATTTCACATTTTTTTTCTAATTAAAAAACACAACAAATAAAAACACGCACTACAAAAACGAAGAAGAAAAAAGCTAGAAAAAAGGCAAACGTTGTTCGAAATCAAAGCGACAAACAATTTGTGAACATGGATTTTTCACAATAGTCTCTCCTCCACATGTGTTAAGAGAAGCATTTCAAGCATTTTAATTTTCGATAAATATTTCATTTGATTCAGCTTATATACTATACCAAAATTCTTTTTTACAAAATCAGTTCACACACAAAAGAAAAAAAATATGCACACATTTAATTTCGTTTATTTGCATCTGCGTGACATTTAATTTTGCAGCTTGGCCACGCCCACCATTTGTTATTTGAGGACCGGCATGTACTTATTTGTTTATGAAATTTGATTCGTGCATTTGAATAATTTAACAGTTGAGCTTTGCATTTTTCAGCTAAGCTTTTGTGTAACATTTAATTTGAATGCAACACAAACCATTCACACACACGCGCGCGCCGATACATACACGCATACGCACGCAGTTGTTTAATTGTTTACATTTAATTGTTGGCGAACTTTTGCCTCACATGTGCAATAAATAATCAAATATTTAATTATGGCCAATAATATTGGTCGCTGTTGTTTAATTTTGATATTTTTCTTCTGCTACTGTTCGTCGTATGTAGTTGAACTTAACTCTGTGAAAATAGGCAAAAATTATAAATATATTTAGAAATTCTTTGTGTACATTGGATCAATTGTACATTCATTTATATTACGCCTACTCAATGTAGAACAATTAAAATAACACACATATAAAGTTACTATGGTATTTATGGTAACAACTAATTGGGAGCTTGTCCCTCATGTAGGGTAGTCTGAACTTGCTATAATGCGATGCGTTATATCATATAGGTGTTCGTTTTGGCCGCATCAATAGTCGAATCTATCTAAATTTTCAGCAAAAAAGCTTTAAGGCTTAAAGACTAGCTAGCGTTATTTGGTCTTAGTATACTTTGGTGCCTACTAAAATGACTCCAAGGATGTTGTTGCATTGCTTAGACAATTTTTAATTTTTTTAAAAGTCTGAAAGTAAACACACTGCAACATAAAAGCAGCTTATAATATTGTATAATAAAAATATATAAACTCCAAAACAATCTTTAGGATTTGTTTTTCCAGTAGCTTAAACTTATTTTGACAATTGTGTTTTATTTAAATGTCATAACATCCTTACTGGATTTTCAACACTTCGTTACGTAGCAAATGCATATTGTCTTACAGCATTCAATTAGTCTATCATTATTTAAATTCATTATTAATTGCTCAGCTGCAGCAGCTGACCAACTGAGCAGCAATAACAAGAAATTGCTGCCACAAATAAAACACAAATCATCCATAGACTTGAGCTCAAACGAAACTAACTCAGGACGAAGACAGCTGAACAAATGTATTGCGAATTGCTTCAAGCAAAATGCTTGCAATAGCAAAGACATAACCAACAAATAGGCAAAACCAAGACACAGAACTGTGATATTTGCTTAAAGGAAGAGTAACATAAAACAAAGCACCAATAAATCTGGTTGAATCTGCTTCCGTCTGGTTGATGCGTGTATAATGGACAAGGTCTGCAATAAATACTAAATATTATTTAATAAAAACGTAGCTGAGGTTCAGGTGCGTGTCTTCTCATGTAAATTACAACAATAATAAATCACGCATACGCCCTGTTTGTTGACCCGCCGTTGAACTAATCCAGCCATATAATTTTTAAACTTCTCGTTTTTTTTTTATAAAAATATAATATGTGTTGGTCGCATGATGTATTGACAGAGCATTTATCTATCTATCTATCTATTTCTCTCAAAGTATATACATATATATGTATTTATATACAATACATTTGGCTCTCACTTATTGTTAGCATAAATAACCTCCTCCCCCACCATGTTAAGCAATGCTTTAAGTTTGACAGTTTGCTCAACTGATTGATGAATTGTTATTGATATTGACTGGTTGATGGAGTCACATGTGTGCTACTTAGTTAAATAAAATCCTTGGACATGTATTGTATGTTATTTAATGCATACGCATCGATATATACAATTATATTATAGCGTAAGATTGTATAAAAATATCAAAAGCAAAAACCTGTTAAATGAATTCTAGTTTTTCGCATTTTGTTATATCACTCTTTTAATATACTTATAATTAACAATATGCTAGCTGTATTCGAGGCATGTTCAAAAACAAAAATTAAACAACAACAATGCAACTTAACCATGAGAAATGCAATTGATAATGAATTAGTTATATGTATATGTATACATATACATATTTAATAACTTGTATACATATTGCAATGTACCTATATACTAAGCAATTTTTTGGTGTTGGTCGTTTGGTTAATTGCGTGACCGTCTGCCTATCGTAGTCATTGTGTCACTTACACTCTCTCACACACTCACACATACGCCAATATATATATATATATATATATATATATATATATATATATATATATATATATATATATATATATATATATATACATAAATACATGCACAGCTATGTATGCGCCTGTGATGGCAACTAAACGCAAATCCTTGTTGTTTCCCGCAAATTTATCACAGACAAATCTGTCAACACAACAACAAACACAACAGACACAGTACAATGGCAGCATCAGCAATGGAACCGCAGCCCCAGTACCAGCAACTGGCACGGGAACAACTGCCACGACGCTGGTCACGCAACAACAGCAGCCACCCGCACCTCTGACAAATGGACACGCCATGGAGCAACTGCAGCAGCAACAGCAGCAGCAGCAGCTACCGCATACCCCACAGAATGTGCTCAGCATTGTGAGTTTGGCCAACACAGCAGCATCAGAAAAAAATTATAATAAAATAAACAGTCAAGAAAACAAAAAACTAAGGGACAACTCGAGAGCAATGCAAACAATTGAAATATACGTACGCCATGAGTTTGGTTTCGGTTTCATGCTTGCTCTGGGTTTCTGCAGCTTAAGTTTTATTTTTTGATGCCTTTGGAGCTGACCAGCTCCTTCATTAGGCAAACGTTGCTACTTAGTCATAGAAAACCCACGTTGTTGGTCCACATTCATTGCAGCTATCGCATTATCATTCCCAGCACATATTTTATATTGTTGTGCAGCGTAACAATTCTCCATAAATTCTCTGGCAAGGCGAATTTGTTGTCTAGTTTTAAATTTTTTAATTTTTACAATTGAGTTGATGAAAAAATCTTGGCAGCCTTCCAGCTAAATTATTATCATTAAAAAATTAAAACTTATATAGAATACTGGCAGTTAGATTTTACACTTTTATTTTGAAGTTTCGGTTGTTACATAAATATGATTATGTCCGACAAAACAAAGTATTTACTATTTAATCATAAGTTAGCTTGTGTACATAAAATATTCATAACTTAACACCAATGCTACTAACCAACTGAAGAACTTCAACCAGATGCCACAGAAAGTAAAAGTTAGAAAAATTCAACTCGCATAAGAAAATGCCAACACCTTTCGCATTCATGTTGAAGCATTTAGCTCAAATTCCTTTACCGTTGCCTTTTATATGTTATTCCTTTGATTTTGAGTGAAGGAAAAAGTTGATATACTCTGTTAATTAAGTGAGCAAAGTATTTAAGATTCGTTAGCTCAAAAATTCGGCTGTCAAATAAAAATTCTCCGGTTCGCAGTTTAAAGGTCACTAATTTGACATTCTGCCGAGCATAAAATCTTTCATGTTTAAACATGTTTTTTTTCAAGCCACTTTGAGCCCATGAACAGAGTATCCTGCAGTCGTTCTCGCTTGTCTCTTTTGCTGTTTCGTAATGTATGCAAAAATGTTTGATGCGGCATCAAAATGCGAGCGACCTTTTTGCTGGCGTCGCGTGCCTTACAAAGGCATTTTATAAACTAAAAAGCGTTAAATGTCATTTAGGGTAACCCAATCCCAATCCCAAGTTGTAATACCTGAACGCCCCCGTCCATTTTCAGGCCCGACCTACGTTATCGTTAGCCATTTATACGGCTAAAGTTTTTCACGCTATTTCACTTTACCCCACCAACCGCCATCTGATCCAAGGAAAATAATGAAAATGTGCTCTAAACATGCAATCGGAATCGTACAGAGAATACCCTGCTCTGATATGCATATGTGTTTACAAAAAGAATTTACTTAGATTTATGTGTCAACAATGCGCATTTAATACGAATGCCAAACGAAACCCAAAATTAAGTTGGCGTCATTTATATTGCCTACTTTATGGGGCGTGTGTGTTATGGGCGGTTCGAATTTATTTGCTATTGTTATTATTGCATTTGCCAGTGCATTTTGATCGTGTGCGTAAATTGACAATAATATGAAATTATTCAAACCCAGAGATAGAGAGAGAGTCAGAGACAGGGATGCGCCTGAGGCTGACTCTGTGGGATGTGCTTGGGCATAGCCTGGTCGGCTGACAACAATGCCAATAGACAACATGCCACTGTGCATATTCAGTTTTAATAATGCAAAAATACAAATGCAAACACATCCGCAGGGTCGCCGCTGGGATTTGGTTGCAGTAAGGGGAATTGCAGTACTTGCGCGACAGTTTTATTGCATAAGTCAACAAAAGTCTGTGCCACAAATGTGCCATTCCATGGGTTCGACAGTCTGTCCGCTTTTCTGTCGAACTGTGTGTGCTTTGTAACTTTTTTATTGGGTCACCCACACACACACAGACAGCTGCACTTTGCAGTGCATAACGTGTGTGTGTGTGTGACTGCCAGTCTACAAACCACTTGAAAATTGTATTTTCATTTCAATTGTTTATTTATTGCGGCACTTGTTCGCATTCGATTTTCAATGTGGCAGCTGCAGCAACCACAAAAACATCGACAAGTACGAACATTTCTATATTTCACCAATTTATAATAATGCATTTTTACTAAAGCATTTCAACAGTTACCAAAGCAGGTGTTAACAAATGTTTGCAATCGAATTAAAATTTTAAAATTAAATTGATGGGAATTAATAAATAAAGCACAAAAATACTGGGACTTTGTTGTATGGGCTGGGAAAAGTGAAAAGCTAATGTAATAATATGGTCAAGGTTATGAGCATAAAGGTTATAATTAAATGAATATTGGGCTAATAACTAAATATTTCTTTACCAATATTTCATTTATTATCTGTACTACAACATAGACTAGTAGAAAAAAGCCTGTGCCTAGTTCAGAAATTCCTTTTATACAGGTATACTTAATTCATAAATAGTAACAGACGGGCTCTAATTTAACTATATTTATCATATGTGATTAAATTGAAAAGTAAAATTCCACCCGTATTTAGATAACGTGTGGAAAACTGTTGAATGCAACTTTTGCATTTTTCATGCGATCCGTTTAATTTTCAAAGATCTTTGTGAGAATCCATTAGATAAATGATTTATTTTAAGAATATTCGAAATGCCTGGCGCAATTTACTAATTAATTTGTTCAATCTATTCTTTTTTCTCGTTTCTGCCACAGTCCACAGTATTGATTGCCAGTGAGGCAGCGGAGGCACAGCAGAACTCTGCGTTGCCACATGCTGGTGGTGGCGGTGGTGGTACCGGAGGTGGCGGCGGCGGCGGTGGCATGCCCAGCTCACCGCTCAGTAGCTCACCGTCCAGCGTTACAGTCGCCTCGACAGCAGCCACACTCAATGGCAACAGCAACAGCAATAGCATCCCCAACGATGGCAACGTATCAGGCAACACATCACCCATTGCTAGCGGCGAGCCGTTGCTGCAAACGCCACCAGCAGTACAGCAACAACAGCAACAACAGCAACAACAACAACAGCAGCAACAACAGCAGCAACAACAACTGCAACAACAACAGCAACAACAACAACAGCTCATTTTAAGCAGCAGTCCCACAGCAGCAACTTCAGTGACCGCCAGCTCCATAGCCTCGGGCACCTTGGCCGCAACGAGCAGCAGCATGTCCACAGGACTACTGCCCACCGCCGGACTGGATAGTAATGCCAATTGTGGTGTGCCCGCAAGCACTTCTCAGGTGATTGCGCATCTAAACGCAGTCAGTGGCATTATGACAGCGACCGTGCAGTCACCCAATGTGGTCACTAGTCTAAGCAGCGCTCTAGTCCCGGCACAGTCGGTCTCCTCATCGGTGGCTGCCGCCGTAGCCGCCGCTGCCTCGTTGGATGCCAAAAGTCAACCGAAACGCTTACACGTCTCCAATATACCGTTTCGCTTCCGGGATCCCGATCTGCGTGCCATGTTTGGGGTAGGTCCGCTGCAGCAGTCGAAACAATTTCTTATGCTAACCTACTTATTATTTGCCTGCAGCAATTTGGCAACATTTTGGACGTGGAAATCATCTTCAATGAACGTGGCAGCAAGGTAAGTTCCCATTATGTACCCTTTTCCTCTTGCACGATTCATTTAAATTATGCACAGGGCAAGCACTTGAGGGGCATACTCAAGTCAAGTGAACTCCTTTGTCCAGGGACGGCGACGTCATAACGTTGCCAGAACTACCTTGAATCATTGTGTTCCGGCTAAAAATATCACTTGGACGTATTTTTCCTGTTTAGCAACAGCAGTAACAAAAAACTAAAGCATAAAATCAGAATGTCCCTTGCAGTATTCTCCTGGCAACCGCCGTTCACTGATATAATTGCATAGTAACGGGCGCTGTTGCTATACGACACGAAAAATGTGCATAATTTAAGGCGCTGACGCATGTCCCAAGATGCTGAGCCCCGCATGTCCATGGCCCTCACTGTCTCCCCAACGCTCAGTCTGTTTGTGTGTATATTGTAGCTTAGCATTATGACTTGGTACAGACCTTGTTTTATCGTAATTTATATGCTATATACTCTACCTAAATATATGTATGTGTGTATATATATATATATATATATATATATATATATACATATATATTCTTATATACTCTATATGTTTTTTTAATTGCATGTTTGATTGCGAATGGCAGGGATTCGGTTTTGTAACATTCGCTAACAGCAACGATGCAGAACGAGCACGCGAACGTCTACACGGCACCGTGGTTGAGGGACGCAAAATCGAGGTGGGTGCATGCAAGCAATACCATAAACCACATATACCATCAACACACACACACACACACACATATACATAGTTGCATACGGCCCGTTCACATGGGAAGCTATTATTTAAAACTAATTGCAAAACTATAACAAGTTTCTCATTTGCCACTAAAAAATAAATTTGGTTAAGAATAGAATCCCCTTAGAGGGAAAAAGGCTTTCGACTTGCGTGTCGTGAAACTTTTTCACATGTTTTCGCGTTTCAGAAACTGATTTTTAAATTCCGATTGCTCTGATTGTGCTTTTGGCACTGCGAAACGTATTTAAAATCGGATTCACGCATGGTCAGCGCATTTTGATTTCGAGTTTTAATCGAACGCTCATTAATTTTAAAATTATTCGCCGCCTTTTTTATTTGCCTTTAATTAAAAATTAATTACTTTTTTCCCATTTTGCATTTCCTTGCAAATGTCTGTCAGCGCTTACCAATTTCTGTATTTATGTTGAGTGGATGGCCGCAAATAATTGGCATTTAAAATATGCTGAAAATGTGCAAAGTGGCAACTGATATTTAAACAATTTAACTGCAGGCCGCAAAAGACGGCAGTGATAATTCATTTTATTTGCAGCGCAAGCGAAAAATAACGAAAGCTGGCTAATTACGTGAAATGCGCCAAAGCGTTGCATATGTATAGGTTAATTAATATTAAAGATCTGAGAAGGAAAACTCATTTTTGTAGGAAGCAGGTTTTAGCTGTTTAAATTTAATGCCTTACTTGCTTTTAAAGATGCTTTAACACTCTCACAGATACACACACACACACACACACATACACATACACCTCATTCAATTATAATTGTTTACTAACAAATAATTTATTTTCACGTTCCTTGTACATGCGAAATGCGATTAAACAATAATTTTCAAAAAATATAATTCTATATAATGTATACATTATATTAAAATCAAAATAAAAAACCATCACCAAAACCAACCACGCTCGCTGCAACTCAACTCTACTCGTTACTCGAACTCTCTCGTTACCAATAACCATTGTGAAGGTGAATAACGCCACTGCACGTGTACAAACCAAAAAAGTGACAGCAGTACCCAACGGTAAGTTGCTCTAACGTACACACACAAACACAATATACACCTGCTTACACACACACACATATACCCATATAACACCCATGTATAAGCTATGTAGCGAAACAAGTTTAAATGTTGAACAAAGAAATGCAATTACGTCTGGCCTAGAAGAACTATAAGAAATGAGAAGCACGCAAACGGCAACTTAAATAACAGCAACAACTACAACAACAACAACAATAAAAAACTTTAACACAACTGCCATAATATTTGACTGGCCGTTGCCGTTGTTGTGTTTGGCGTTGCCGTACTTTACGTTGATTTCTTTTTTCTAAAATGTATTCTTTCTTTTCTTTTTTTGTCCGTTGAACTTTTCACATAAACTTCTGCGGTTGCTGCTAAAATGTTAGTTCCTGAACCGAAATGTTTCTTAATGAAAATGTTTGGTCTTGGAAATTTGTTATTGCTTTTGATTTAATTTGAAGAACTTGTTAATAAAGCGTATGCCGAGGCGTTTGGCAATCAAAAACTTGTTAACTGTGTTGTGCCGCACTAACAACTTCTACCAAAATTGCGGCTGCTAACAAAACAATGTATACCATAAAGCACACACTCACACACACAGTATTCGCTGAATTCGGCTTTGTTTGTTCTGTTATTTTGAGTTATGGTTAACAATGTCTGCATTTGAATTTCCTATAACAAACCGATTACTGATGATTGAACACACATTCTGATAATTAAAAAAAATTTTTTTTTATTTACTTTGTTTTCTCTTACACACCACCACCACCACACAGTTGTACTGACCAAAGACGGTGCCCTACCGGCTCCAGCTCTAGGTGAGCAAACCAGAGAACAAATAAAATGAAAAATTGCAATTGTTATATATGTCTTGTTGTGCCTTGCTTGCCAAAATATAAATAATAATTAGAATAAATATCCCACTCAATGTTGTCCATAAACGTAGGCACCTAATAACGTACCAGCATAACCCTTAACTATAGCACCCAACTCTATAGTCAACAATGTCCTGGCATGTTGCACGCTAAAGGTGGCATGATATGAATCCCAATATTGGCTAAATAACTCTAAATCAACTGTTAAACGATATAATCTAAGCATATGCATTGACACTCATAGTCCCAGCATGAATACTCTCCACCATATCCATGTTTTTTATGATTATAAACTTTCAGTATGTACTTCATTAGATAAAGCTGCAGCTGCGTATGCACAAAACTGTGAAAAATATGTTTAACATATCGAATATGTATAGAGAGAGAGAGAGAGAGGCATTAAATTCATAAAATATTTCATGTTTATCTGTAGGCTGACTAGATCTGTAAAACACATAAACTTTGGTCTTGTCGTGTGGTTTCTTATGGGAAGTTTTGTCAGCTAGAAGTTCTTAGATGCTTAATGTTTCGTTTGCACTGCGCACAATTTCATTTGAAGTTGCGGTTGCTTAAAAGTTTACTCTCTTACCCAAAAAAAAAAAAAAAAAAAAAAAAAGAAGAAGAAGAAGAAAATATAAAACAGCAGCAAGAAAGTTTCCATGCCATGTATAATAAATAATGCTGCTGATTAAATCGCCTTTCCATGCAAGCTGCCATTAAAAAGTATTCACAGTGCAAAATCTATACTTTAGTTTCGCTCAAATACGATAAGCCGCTTACCAGCCCAAACCCAACCTAAACCCCACCTAAACCCAACCAAACCCAAGCAAACAAAACTGAGCTGAACTTAGCCAGCAAAAAGGGAAGCAGCTGAAATGTAGCCAGCAGCTGGTCCCACGGAGTTTTTGCCTTCACGTGGACAGGACATGCAAAATGCTTTTGTATCGCCAACAAACTTAGATGCAGACAAACCGACAGACCAACGTACAGATAGGAGATCAGATGCTGCACATGCGGCAGATTCTGCTGGCTGCGTCTTTGGCCTTAGTTGCCTTTGCCGTGGCTTGGCTTTTCCTGCCTTGCCCGTCCCGGCAACATTTCTACTCCTGTGCACTGCTCGCCACGTGCACGTAATGCGCTTCATTTGCGTTGCACTAAATGCGAGCTGTGTGTCTGCTGGGACACCCAGCTATTTATGCGGCTGCTAGCATATTATAGAAATAGACAGACAGACCAAAAGGTACTTGGTCAGACGGAAGAGTAAAGACAAGTGGCAGGAGCCACTTACTTTATCACGTTTCGAACTGGCTTCACTTGCTAGGCAAACGGCTGGCAGCATTAGCACCAACAAGAACGAGAGCAGGAGCTCGTTACGGTGCATGCAGGCGAGGCGGGCGGTCAGGATAATTACAAAAAAAACCCACAATGTTGCAAGCATGTTGCGGCACACACATAAATTGCAGTAGCAAAAAATGAAAAACTCTCCTCCAACTCCTGTTGCCTGGTACGTCCTTTGGCCGTTGCAAAACCATTTTAGTTTTGATCCTTTGGTTGTGTCTTATGCAAATGTCTTCCATTCGCACACATTTTAAAGAAAGTTTGCCATCTACTTTGTATGTTGACTTCCCTCACATACATGTACATATGTTATGCATATATGTAAATATGTTTCTTTCTGTTTTATTTTTCGTTGATCCTTTGACATGTAAAACTTAATGCGCCCAACCAGCAGGAACAACATTTCTGACTGCCTGCTCGTCTATTTGACATTTATTTTACTGCATTTTTCGATTTGTCGCTAGTTGTATATCCCTCCCTTTGTATTTGCTTAAAGTCGATTGTTTAGTCAGCATTTGAGCTTATTTGTTATTTCGCTAGCAATTTGCTTCATTGTGAAACGTTTCACATTTTCAATTGCATCATTTGTGAGCATCTTAAATGCATAATACAGCATTGAGACAAAAAATGTCAGTTTATTTGCGACAAAAACAAAACAGCATGCAATGCTCTAAAACAAACTCAAAACGATGTTGAATCAAAACAAATATAACTAAATTTGGTTAAACCAATTGGCTTGAACTGCGAATTTCGCCTAGTTTCGTTTAAATTGCTGCTGAAAGCGTTTTTTTACTATAGTAAAATAATATAAAATATGCAAATAAATAAATGTTTGTTAAATTCAAATAAAAGTGCATGTTTATGCTGCAACAAACCCCAACCAGTATACAAAAATAAATTGAAGAAATATTTCAACTACACCGCAACTGCATTAGCACGGCCCAAACTTGTAAATGTAATTGAGCTGCGTGTCATGTATATAAAATCAAAAGTTTTATTTATATAAATAAAATCACAATTTTAATATAAAACTAATTCAAAATTTTCTCTTCATTTTTCCATGCTCCACAAAAACAAAAATACAAAAATTGCTGCGACTATAAAAAAAACTACACCAATTTATATAAATCAACTGGCTGCAGTTTGCGTTCAATGGCCTGAAGGTAAGCGTTCCGTCACGTTTTATTTGTACTATTTTTTGCTGTATTTGTATTTTGTATTTATTGCTTGCCGTATTTTGTTATAAAGTCTAAAATTACACAAACAATTTGAACAGACACACACACACACACAAATATACAGTAAAAATAAGTTATCTTTAATGTATACGAGAGAGACCCGTTCAGTTTTTAACATAAGTATAAGCCGTGGCATATTTTTTAGAGTGTAAGCGACAAAAAACATAAATACATACATAACTAAATGACAACCCATAAGAAAACTATGTTAGGCAGCTCGACATGTGAAGCATATATATATGTAAACGCTGGGATTTTTGACAGTACGAGAAATCATTTGAAATGCTCATTATTCAATTTTTACCTAACTAAAAACTTAATAGATTTTTCATTTTTATTGTTAGGCTCCGCGTTAAACTGTATGCATATATTATATTCGTAAACCTACATACTTTTTGCAATACTAAATATTTGATGACTGTTTGTAATTGTACTCTATTTTTTTTTTTAATGAGTCATTTACTTTTGCATATAACCCAAACTTGGAAAAAAGAATTGAACCAAAAAATAGAAAACAAAACACGAATGAAAATTAAAAACAAAATTTGAAGCATAAAAAAAAAACAAAAACAAAAATATCGTTACTTACCGCTCGCAAACCCATTCAGAATCAGGCGCGTCACCATTTTCTTTCTAGTCTTAATGATGCTGATGATCCTGTGATCATCTAATAATGGTTATGAATTTTAGCATATTGCGGCTGTGTTGTCTTATGCATACTACTTAACTACTATATATAAATATACTCTTAATAAATATATAAATATATATATTTACTATATATCTATATACATATGAACAATCCATATTATTTTGTTTAACACATTTATTTTAACCAGTTTTGTTGTATGTGCGTTTTGTTTTTATGTCCTGAGTTCGTTTTACGTTTTATATATTTTGGTCTGGTTCTTTGATCTGAACATTGTCGGAAATGCTCCTTAGCATAATTACTTATTACTTAAGTCAACACACAGACACCAACACACACACACACACACACACACACACACACACAGACACATTCCCACGCAACTACAAACACGAATGTATGTAAATGTTAACTCTCGTCGCGTTCCAAGCAGCTTAACTTAGCACTAGACCTAAGCTATACCACAAAAACCAAACCAAGCCGAACCAAGAGAACGTCAATCACTGCATCCCAGAATTCGATATGTAAATACAAAACACAGCCATACGCAGACCCGTATATATATCTATATATATACATACACACAGACAGACACATCAGCTCATCCACTGATCCATCGAATGATACAAACAATTTTAACAAAATTTATGAACAAAAATATGAACCTTAAGGTTATCGGCTGCCCATGGCCGCTGCGTGGCCATTTTTGGGTGCGCCAGTTGGGGCCGGAGCGCCGACGCTGACACCGATGACGCTGCAGATGCCACTGCAGGTGGCACAAGCGGCCTCAGTGGCACCAGCGGCGCACAGCGCAGCCACGCCCACAGCTACTCCAACAGCCACGCCCATTGTGTTAGCGCAACGCCATCCAGCACACAGTGCAATGCCAACAAGTGTGACGGCACAAACTGCAGCAGCAACGACACGGCGGAGGTACATTGAAAATTCTGGATCGAATTTGTTTGAGTGTATGCGCCAAAAAAAGCAGAATTCAAAAATTAAGTAAACTCGCTGACTCACACAAAAGACAGACCAACACATACAGATACACAGAGAGGCACACCCATACACACACACACACATACACAAAGGCATAACTACAAAGGCAACAACAAGTGACAAACTCTTAGTTTTGAGATCTGTACCATATACTTACTATACATACATATGTACACATATATATTTGTTGTCTTGTTAATTTGGTTACGCATTTGGGTTTGACTGTATGCCAAGTACTATATATTGCATACCTTTTGGCGCCCTTGAGATTGCATTGTTCTACGGCTAGGCACACACAAGCAAACACAAGTCCACGAACCCAAGAACCAACCAATCAGTCAATCAATCAATCAATCAGTCAATCAACCAACTAGTGGCAACCTCACATGACAACTGTAATTAGCAATTAAGTATGGAAAGGTTCTTAGCTTTAACCATAGTGTACCTACTATATATCGTAATTTATAACGTACCCTATATCGTGTGACGGTAGACAATTTTTGCGCAGCAAGCATTTTAAAAAGGCATTTTTTCTAGATTATTAGTTTTTAGCAACTCTTGTACTCTTTATCTCTCACTGTTTCAATCTTTCTCTATTGTTTCATATCTCTCTGTTTATACTCTTGATATGTTTTTACTTACTTTGCAATTGTGCACGTTTTACTTTTTGTGTTTTCATCGCAAAAAATGCAAATTTTTTAAAAATTAAATGGAAATGGATAATGAAAATAAGTAAAATAAGATTGCCTCAATAATGAATTATTGTCAAGTTGAGAAGACGATACGATTCTACAGTTTTTTGCATGCTACAAAAAGATAAGGCCAGAAGTTATACACTTTAATTGCTTGGCTCTAATGCTTTTTTATTTGTAAATAGCAAAAATCGAAATTAACTTTGATAATTGAAATTAAAAATTGCATTTACATTGTTGAAAATCTAAATAATTTGTGCTCTGTCAAGCTTTTAATTTGCATTCGAATAGTCAAATCGAATTAAATAGCAAAATAAATTTGTAATTTGTTTTTGGGCTTATAAATTGCATTAATAATAATAGATGCGTTGGATTTTCAAAGAGAACTGTACAAAAGTTGCCGCAATTGCAGCTGAGGTCTCCAATTATGTTCGCTTTTGTCCTGGTTATTGCGGCCGGACTGGCCAATCGTTTAAAATGAGTAACAAATGTATTTTTAATTGCGTGCCAAGCCTCAATGGCATCCATCGATGTTTCACGTATTATAAATTTTAACAGATTTTAAAGCATTTCAAGCTGCTTGTGTTTTACTTTAATGTAGAGCTTGTTAAAGACAACGTTTTTACTCTAGATTATCTGAGCACAGTAATTGCCGTTGCAAAAGATCGCATATGATCGCAAGGATCATATATTTGTTTGTTATCTGTAAACTTTGTTCTATTTATATAGTTTTTAGTAAATGTGTTTTAATAGTTTTGATTTTATTCTAAGGTTGAAGGGCTTAAATATACCAACGTTAGTTAAATCGTACCACTTTCTATATAAACGTTATAAATATATATTTTCTTATGCTTTGTAAACGAAAACCTCTAAAAATACTTTGACCAAAATTAAATGCAATAAGTTGTAACAAAACAAAATGTCTTGCCGCATACACACGTATATACAAATTTTATATATGTTTTTAATCCAAACTGCAGAACGGTCAAATGTTTTGGTATTGTTAATGAATGGTCATATTAAACCGTATATATATATAATACGAACACCACAACCAAAAAAAAAAAAAAAAAAAAAAAAACAACTGCGTAGCATTTCTTGGTAATTCAATGTTATAATGTTAAGTATGTTTCAAACTGAATCCCCCTTTAAATGACTGACTTCACGTATGTCTTATGTATTGTTATATGTATATACCAAAATCATTTCAATACTCAATCGATACCTAAACTATATACATCCAAACCGTTACTACATATTGCCTAGTATTTGCTAAACATATACTATATGCTATTTACTATATATATATATATAAAATTATATAAATTTACTTATATAAAGAGAGAGAAACTAACCGCATGCATTTTATGTTCTTTTCTTTTCCTTTTTTCTACTTTTTGCACACGAACACAAACAAACGAACAAACACACAAATACACACGAAACATATATAAAATGTAATGCGTGTGTTCAAACACCCACACATAACACACACACACACACACACACACACCCACACCCACACACACACACACTGGTAAAAATGTTGTGTACAAATCGTTGCAAAAATATCAATCAAAAATCAAAATCCAAAAACAAAAAATCGTTTGGCCGCCTCACAGCCGCCGTAGCCGCCGCCGCTGCCATGCGTGGAGTTGCCATACAACGTGGACACGTGGGCGTGGTCGGTGCCACACCCTTCCATCATCCCCATCATCCGCACCATCATCAGGCGCTGGTTGCCGCCGCCCAGCAGCAACAGCAACGTCAAGTGGCCGCCGCTGCCGTGGCCGCAGCAGCCGCCCAACAGCAGCAGCATCAGCAACAACAGCAACAGCAGCATCAGCAGCAGCAGCAACAACAACAGCAACAACAACAACAGCAGCAACAACAGCAACAACATGCGGCAGTAGCCGCTGCCGCCGCTGCCCAGCACTCACAACACGCCGCTGCCGCCGCCGCCGCCGCCGCTCACGCACATCCGCATGCACATGCGCATGCTCTCGCCCCCCAGCTAACCCAGCTGCAGCCGACGCTCCAGGCGGTCGCCGTGCCCACTGCCGCTGGTAGTGCTGCGGCTGCTGCCGCTCAGCAACACTCGGCGCTGCAGCAATCGCTGGCAGCTGCCGCAGCTGCACAAAATTCGGGCGTGGCAGGCAATGCGAACGCTGCTGCCGCCGCTGCGTATGCGGCACGGCTCTCCGCTGCCACGGCTTCCCAAACGCCGGCCGCTGCTGCTGCGGCTGCTGCTTCCATGGCAGCGTCGGCTAATGCGGCCAACAGCGCTTTGCATGGATTTGCGCCGTAAGTAGAGTTCACTCCACGTTGCCCCAAAATCGTCGCCGTCGCAAAAGTCGCCATTAAAGAAAAGAAAAAAATACTTCCATGTAGCTCTAGTTGTATCTTGTTTTCCTTATTTTTTTTTATTTAGTTAAATAATCTCTTATATATTGAATGTAGTTTTAGCGCACTTACTTTTTGTTTATGTGGTGTCTACGCTCAATCTCAAACGCTTACTCAAATCACCAACTGCAGCAACAGCAGCAGCAAGAACAACCGGCTCACAGAATTGCATGCAACAAAATATTACGCATACGCCACGTTGTGCCAGCTGCTGCTGATGGTGTTACTGTTAGACACGATCTATCATCATTTTACAAAACTTAACTTCTCCCAAATCCCCATAATATTAACCTTATCCCAAATCCCAGCCACCTCCAACTTCGAGCGCAAATTGTTTATAGCTTTAACGTTGTTTTTTGTCTCTCAATTTTTGGTCTATGCGGTGATTTTCATTAAATATTTAGCTACCTTGTGTGTGTAACGTTTTTATAAGTATATTCAAAAAAATATATATGCATAGCGCCACATTTGCCTAATGTACCATCTAATTCAACCGCAAGTTTAGACTTGTCTCTTGTATAAAGTCAACTAAAACAACAACAGCTACAAAAGCAGCAACCAATTAACGCACGCCAACTATTACATAAACTATTTAAAATAAAACATATATATATATATATATAACAAATATATATATATATATATACATATTTAGATATACAACTATATATTCTTGACTGAGAGAAGTTTTTTGGCATCGTTTAATATATTCGTATAATTATTTGATTATCTTGGTTAAAGGGAACTACGTAATTGTATATTGTGTACCACTAGGCGTATGATGAAATTGAAATTGAATTGAATTACAAATGTTTTTGATGCGTCTGCTGCTGCTGCCGCGCATGTTTCCACTATATCTCAATAATTGTTAATATTATTATTTCTAAATACACCCGTTCTATTTTTTTTTTATTCTTTTTGTGGCTGCTGTTCTAATAAACTAAATAATAGCGTATGAATGATGAACAATGATAATGCTATACCATTATATATGAATTCTACCCAACTAATTAGCTAGGTGCATGAATGTCTGTTCTGTCTATTAAAATGCAGAGGTCGAACAACAAGTGTTTTTTGTAGTATCGGGCAATTGTAATGTGTACTCGTACCTACCATATATGGTTGATTATCCTTGCTAGTGTTCTACTTATAATTTACAAATGCATATGCATAACCTAAAAATCACCTCGTCATCAATTAGGATAAAGCAAACAAAGAGTACAGAATATAAGGTTTATTGCTAGGTGTTAGGATTATAGGTGGGAACTTGGTTTCTGTGAGGATACGAATAGGGCTTAATTACCTTTTCAGTTATACCTTTAGTTTCAGCCATTATACCCAATGCACCCGGTACAAAAGAAAAAGTAAACAGACAAAGGTAAAGGCAAAGTTTTCGCAATAAATTAAAAAATATATCATACAGTGATGTATGAAGCGCCAAAACTATGTAATTACCTTCTGCCCATAACGCCCAAACAAAAACCCACACACAAGTGCGTTAAAAAATTAATAAAAATATAAAAAGAAAAATAATAATATAATATGTATAAACATTTTTGAATTTTGCTTTTAAGTGCTATTCAAATGAAAGTTGAGTCAGATAAAATGAAGAACAATATTTATTGGAAATGTTCTAGTGTTGATCCGGCTCGGCTGACATTGAAACCAATTGTAAAGAGTGTCCAAGTGAGTTATTAATCTTGAAATCTGTCTTATCCTTCTTCTTAAACACACACAGCGTATACTATGATCCCTTCTTAGCAGCCGCTGCTTCCGCTGATCCAAATCTACGCTTCCAGGTAAGTCTATCAAAATTGTACACTATAATATTTTTTGTTAAGACTATCATTTAGATATAGGATTATGTGTAATATACGTTAAGCTATGTTAAGAACTAATTTAAAGCTGGCTAGCTAAACTAAAAAACCTTCGTTTTTAAAATATATATACATATATATATTATATATAAATTTTACAGGCAGCCAAACCGGTCACTGAAGTTCCAGCCGCACAGCCAGCCGCCATATTAAATGTAATGAAATCTATTCAAATTGATACGCTAACCGTAAAGCATAAAAAAATCGTTTTGAGAACGTTATCTCAACTATTATATTTATTATACACTCGTACATACACATTTATTTACACATTAACTTTCAATTGAACTTGTGAAAGACACCAATATTTGACTTGGTTTTTGAACAGAACATTCCTATATACATATACATATGTTTGTACAATTATTTTTCGCTCCTTTTGTTATTATTTTTCCGTTTCATATTATTATTGCATAAAACACTAACGACGCGTTTGGAGACACACTTCTTTCTTTACGTACCCACACATTGGGATTGGTGTTTTTCTATTGTTTAGTTTTCTTTGGTAACTGGTCGTGCAACTAAGTCTGTAAAATTTTGGCATATATAAAAGCGTGTATACTACATATAATTCACAACACTACAAACATGAAATATATATATTATAAATTCGAATTAGGGCCCAGTGCTGAGCGTCATTAACAAATTTTCATACATAAATAATTGCTTTTATGTATTTAAATATGTATATTACCATTGTGTTTGAACACTTACGTCTATTTCTACTTATAAAGCGATTACATATTTGCATCCTTAATTGATTTTGCTAACACATTTTTATAACTATCTAAGTATATTCAAACTACACGCGTAGTCTCCAAGAGAAATACAAACAAACAACAAATGCTTTAATTAGCGGCCACTTAAAGACGCATAGCATACTTTCAGGCTGCATGCCGCTCTACCTCTTTCTATCTATCTGTCTCTCTCTCTCTCTCTGTCTCTGTCACTTTGTTTAAATTATGATTTGAAAACGAAAAAACTTCAAATATTATTTTCTCTTGTTTTTTATTACATTTCGATCAACATATCTCACGCAAGTTATGGTTTGATTTGAATTTTGCTTTTACAATCTATATATATAAATTTATATATATATATATATTAGACTCATATCTTCAATTAAATCTAAACTTAAGTAGCATATAAATAAATATTCCTCAATGCTGTGAACATTTTCGTAATTACTAAGTATGTATTCTTTTTTGGTTACTTTTTTCACGACTGTTACAACATACGCAACAACAACAACAATAACAACAACAACAACAACTGCATCAAATATCGTTACAACATTATCAAAACCAAAATTTATACCAAAAATTATACCAAATATATCGAAAAACTTACAGCGCCGCACTGTGACTACGCTAAACAGTACCCCACATACGATCAACCGCATTCCGGTACCACAGAATGTTTTGGTAAAAATAATCATTTTTAGCTAGCAAATTTGAACATTCCAATCAAATAATTTATTCAAATCCATTAGAGAATTATTGTTTGTTGTGCCCAATTTTGAGTTTTGATTATATGTATGTGTATTGTTGTTTTTTTCTGTTTTTCATGGGACTGCGCTTTATGTCTTGCCCCCACACCTAAGTTATGATCTGAATACTAGCCATAATCAATATGCTATAAGTTCTTTGTATTCCCTGCACTTTTGGCGCTTTGTTTGTAGCATTTAAATACTACGTATATTCATAAGATTTTTTGGCATCTTGGGCTTATAGCTTGAATTCGCTGATCACCACCTTAAATATTAGATTTATATCTATTTATATATTAAAACCAAAAAATCGCACTGATATGATTTGTTTGCACTCCTCTTCTTTTTTTTTTTTTTGTTATGGTTTAGGTTCTTAACTCCTTTTGCCATTTTGCTCTCTATCACCTGTCGCTAGTTTTGTCGTTGCCGTTGCATTTGTTCGATTTGTGCCCCACCTTTAACACACAATTTGCTTCAAATTATTCCAGGCCACTGCTCCGCTGTTAAAGACACCCCTGTCTCAGGCCCAGCAGCAGGCGTACGCCACGGCGGCCACCACCTACACGGCGGTCGCTGCCCGGGCCGCCTATGGCGCCGCTGCAGCAGCAGCCGCCCAACCAGCACTCGCTGGCTATGCCACCGTAGCGGGGTAAGTTTTCATCAAAATTTTCCATGTGCGCCACTTGCTGCCTCAGCCAAAGTTGAGCTGCTCCACATTCACAAATTGTCCACGAAACATTTTACTAAACCTACCATTAACTCAACATATTCTGTCATATTCAACACATCTTAACATAATTTAAAATAATAAAAACATGAACTAATTTAAATGAACTCACTAAAATTGGCTTTCACCGCGTGTTAACCTTGAATCTTAAAACTGCGTCAATTCATGTAGTTGGGTCAAGAGAATGTATTTTGAATTTAGGATTATTAAAAACTAATTTCTTTTTAGTCATAATAGATTTATTTTTTCTATTTTATTAAAAGCTTCAGGTAAGGTGTTTTACAAGTAGTGTTATATGAATCGGAACTTATTTGAATAATGTATCTTTTAACTTGATTTAAAATTATAACTGAATTTGCTTTTATTGTGTTGTCAACTTTTTATATTATTTTATCATTTATATATTATATTATTATATCCATTATATCTCATTTGCAAAAACAGCCGAGTTAATCCAGCCATATCTGTCCGTAATTCCGTCGGTTCGTTTCAGAAATTCTACAAAAGTCAGCCAATCGTGACTATTAATTCTCGTATAGCAAATAATTATCTGTAATAGCCCCGTTGTCTGAAAATACAAGTTGGGACTTAGTTTCTCAGTTTCGTGTATAATTATAATCCGCTCTTACACCGTTTGTGGAAGATATATTCAAAAATTTCGATAATAGTGCAAATCTACAATATGTCCGCAATAATTTTACTCCTCGGCACCCGAAGATAATTTTTATTGCTTAAGAAGATAAACATCTTATATTTTATTCAGAATATTGTATTTCTGTAGTCAATCTTTATTTAACAGTATTTATTTCTTCAAGTTAATATATCAGTTTGTATTTCTTATTATTTTATTATATATTTTATTTCAATATTTCATGATTTATATGCAATTTTGTTTAATAATTACTTAACCCTTAACTAATCTGTTTGATTTGATTCTTTTTTGTACAAGAGTAGGAAAAGCCTAACACCGAAAATTGATGACTTACAACTAACCATTGAACATTTTTGCAACACTATATCGAAACTAAACCATTTTTACTAAACTAAGTCAAAAGAAACTGGGAAATAGAAGAAATCATTGGCTAAGCAAGAGATGACATTTATGAAAGATAATTAATTAAAGACTAACAGTTTGAAGAATCGAGTTGAGTCGAAAAGTAATAAAGAAGTGACATTTGAAGAAGAATCAAAGGTTTCACCCTATGCCAAGAGCAAGAACTAACAAAAATCACACAAATTAAACAATCCTAAAAGTGGAGACATCAAGAAACTATCGCATTCCTAAATCATATTTATAACAACTTATTTTCATCAAGTATTTATCTAATAAATCGCAAACGAAATATTTCTAGTTACGCGCGCGAGTATGCGGATCCTTATCTAGGACATGGAATTGGACCCGTGCCAGGCTATGGGGTAAGTGTCCTAAATAACTTTCAATCAATTCTTGACAAATCCATAGGGTACATATTATATTTTATTATCTATTATATTACTTATATCAACCTTTCGCAATCTACTCCACTATCTCTTCTAAAGGCAACCCTGTATCGCGGTGGCTTCAATCGTTTTACGCCATATTAGAAAGCTTCATAAGTCAGCCAAATAACGCACTTGAACTACTCTCGAAAATGCTCAATGTATGAACAAAAATTAGACGTAAATACTCCTCCTCTACAGTGCAGTAAGTAGAAGTTAAATCTAACGCAAAAACAGATGCTCAAAGATGATCGAAAAACAAAAAACAAAAACAAAAGAAACCCCACTCAAAATATGGAGAGATGAAAATCAAAGCTAAAAGCAGCTACAAACCTGTGGCAAATTAAGCAAAATAAAATTAAAAAAAAAAAAAAAACACTTAAATTTTTTAAACAAAAAAAATCAATGTCGTCCATAAAAACAAAAAAAAAAAAAAGAAGAAAACAGCAACAAATGCAGTATACACAAAATATTTAAATGGCAATTAGTTTGCAAAACGTGCTTCATGCGTAGATTTTTACCAAAACCAAAAGCTGAAATTTTGTGCGGCAGAATTTATATAAATATATATATATATATACCAACAGGATATATAATTATTATTATTATTATACCGATAGATATTGTATTTGTATATCAAAAAGAAGAGCAATTTTAATGTATTTGCCAATTCAAAAATTAACAACCGAAAAAAGAACATTTATTTTTTGTTCAATAGTTTTGTTCATTAAGTTAGCTTTATATCTTTATATATATTTACTAATTTGATTATTTTCTGTTTCATGTATTTGTATATCAGTGTAGTCCGTAGGAAGCAACAAGAAACAAACCCAATCGCCAGACATTGAATTGTATATTATATTTTTATATATACAATATTAACAAACAAAAAACACAAAAAGAAGTTGCCAAACAAAAACATTTTATTAGAACAGACATATGAGAACATTTTTCCTTAATTTCTTTATACATTTTTAAGTCTCCAAAGAATACTCATTTTATTATCGTCAACAATTATATTTTAAAAACGTTTTGTAATCTGCTTTGCTTATTATTGTTCCTAGAAACTTTTTTCGGCAGCTAAAATGCATAGTCAACTCAATGAACATGATATTGCTCAACTTGTAGTGCATAAGTAAATGCAACAGATCAACACGTAGACATATCCTTGGAACATACAATAATAATTACTTTAATGCGGCCGTAGCAGCAAAAACACAAAAAAAAAAAAAAATAAATAAATAAAAATAATAATATAAATAATGAGTATAAAATTAAAATATTAATGCATAATAGTTTTTAACTTCAAGCTTCCAGTGACAGAAAGATAGAAAGAAAGCTCAGAAACGGAAACGTGAAAATTGTGTAGTAAGCATTAAAATAAAGTAAATTATTAGCTCTTACTATGTAGCACTTTCTTTGTGTGTTGTGTAAAAAAAAAAAACCAAAAAGCTAAACAAAAAAGAAGCAAAATCAGATATGAACATTTTTCAAAAACAATTATATAAAAAATAACTTCACATCGTTTCAGTGTTGTTCATTTTGGGTCTAGACCACAAAACTTCCCTAAGCAAGCTAAGAATTTATTTTACACATACTCTATAAAGTCTAATGCACACAATTCACTTTTACAGTTGTGTATTTTGAAATGTATGTTGGAAAAACAAATCCAAAGAAATAACAAAACAAAAAAAGAAATATATAAGTAAATAATTATATAAAAAAAAAAAAAGAAAATGCTCAAGAAGTAATTTGACCTCGTTCTCTATTTCGATTCTTAGACAGTTACTGTCGCAAAATTTATACTAGTTGTTTATAAATAATATAAACCATATACCTTTGATTCGTTTTCCTGTATATGTAACTGTGCAATTGATCCTTCGAATTTATCCTTTTGATCGAAATCCAAAAATATTTACTCTTCATTGATTGCACTCCATGCGATATTTAATTGTAGCCTGGTGAGAATTCTGCAATATTGTGTTTGCTACTAAACAAATCGTTGTCTGAGATTGTAAATAATTACTTTGAATTTTCTTATGCTCACATACATTTGCACAGACATACAACGGCAACTTGAAGCAATTTATGTCATACTCAGATTTTAAATGTTTCTTTAAATATCATTATACAAATATGAATAAAATAAAAAAAAAAAAAAAAACATTTTATGTATAAGTACGTTGACATTTTTCAAGCCAAAGTTTATATTTAAAAATGATTTTTAGTTAGATTTAGTTTTTATGCCGATGACAGACACAAAAATAAAATAATACTAAATGAAACAAATCATTTCAAACCCAACAATTGCCAAATTAAATGTAGCTTTCAAGTGAATAGACACTTAATTAAAGTAACAAAAATAAAAGAAAATCGTTTAAAATAGCACAGAAATAAATACATATTAACAACAACTAGAAAAACTTAATGTATATCACACTTTTTGGCAGCACACACATAAATAATTAAATAAAAAACAAATACTTTTGGGTTTGATATACAAGGCGAAATAAACCAAGTAGTTATTAAAAATTAAACATAATATAATACATACAAATGAAAAATTATAAACTCAACTTCCACCGCAATTTTTTAATAAAAAAACAAAACACAGTCTTAAGCAAGGTATGTACTAAAGTCAACCTAAGTCTAAATATGTAAAATGCAAATGCAACTCAATCAAATTCTTATAAAAGATATTTTAGTTTTTATTTAACACTTAATTATCTGTGCGCCCATCCCTCTTACACACACCCAATTTTAACACCCAGTACAAGAGCAAGAATGAGAATTACGAATCTTTAAGCTGTAATCTTTAATCTGTGTAGTCTAACCATAAGCCAGCGCCGCTTTTGTTCACTTTCACATAGAGCATACGCATAGGCGTTATATAAAGTATAAATATAAACTATATATATATAAATATATATTATATGAAAAAACAAACAAAAAAAAAACACTTATCTTTAAAGATGTGCCAAATTGTAAGTTGTACCATTTGTTTTTATGAATGGACAAAGCAAACAAATGCAAAACGCGAAATTAAAATAAAAACAAAAATAAAAAAAATATATATATATGAATTAAAACCTCGTGAACAGATTTACCCATCCCCAAGATGAATAAAAACATTGTTTAGATATTTCAACACTTAAATGATGATGGAAAATATTTTTTAAATTTAGCAATGTGTATAGAGACCAGAGTAGGAAGTTTAGCGTCCCTAGACGCTTCCTTACAAACAAAATTGATAACAGATACAAAACTAGACGAATAGTATTATATTAGCGGACTCCCGCAACAATCACACACAGCAGCTTGCCCCCCTCTCCCAGAAGACAAAACGTTCTGCAATACTTGTGTTCCCGCACACTTTCCCCTCTACATTGACTCATTTAATACACACGCACACAGATACAAAACTTAAATGGCTATAAACAAGATACAAATTTAATTGAACAAAAACTATATATTGGTTTATATCAATTTTCAATTTGTAAGGTTGTGACAAATTGTAAACAAGCATTAAAAATAAACTCAAAATGGAAAATCTTTAAAAATTTGCAGAAAATGTAATAATACATGCGCATGGCAAATAAAATAGCGCAAAAAACACATATAAAACTAAAGCAAAACAAAACAAAAGAAAGGAATATTTGAGATGAATACAATCGAAAATAAAAGGAAAAAAATGCAATAAAAATAACTTTTAAAAATATAAAATATATTTAAAACTGGCATTTGTTATTTCAAAATGGAGCTGACGCGGAGCAATTGGAATATTTCAAAGTGGAGCTAACGCGGAGCAATTGGAATTGATTTGAATTTTTTTGCATGTTTAACACGATTTTTCACATTTTCAAACGCAAATTTTCATACAAAAATTGGAAGTTAAAACGGGGCGTATTAGACATGCCAGCTGAGAGCAAACACAATAAAAATTATTCAAGTCTCGTGTGTTGCAAAACGGAAACCTTTTGATGTTTGACAACGACGTACTCACACAAAGACACACACGTGGATAACAAAAGCTGATCAGTCACAAATTCGTCCGTTTCCAGTGGCACTTTTTCTTCATTATTTCAACCCATGGCTATTAAAGTTGATGTGCGGTCATTACAAACATTTAACACCTCCGAAGTCCACAGTGCGCGACATGCAAAGGCTATTAACCCGATTAAATCAACTGGAGCACGCTGCGAGTTCGCAATGGGCCTCTAATTATTCAAAGCTTCACATTTGTTTCAAGAGTTTGACCCCACACACCCACACAAATAAACACGAACTCCCACATGTACGCTGTTTTTAAATGGGCCATGACAAACCAGCCGACCACAGGAAGTGAACGCCTATGCCCCAGCTCCTGGTTACAAGCGGTTAGTTCAGTTTGTTGGCCCCACTGTCCCAACGGCTACCCCTGCGGCTGCGACCACTATGGCCAACAGTGTGACATAATAAATTATGCTGCATAGCAATGATTAATTTGAGTTCAGCATGGCAACATGACAGCCGGCGAGGTGCGGGGCATCCAATCAAATGCATACAGAATGAGTAGTTGCAATTGGCTATCACACACACACACAACAGGCTTACACACATCCAAACACACACACGCATCTACTGCTGCTGCCCCACTTTCCATTTGGCCAAAATGAAATCAAAGTTCGCAGACTGGATATTCGTGCTGTGATTTCTTTTCTCTTTCAACAACGCCAACCCATATATCCGCATGCCTATCTGCTTATGGCTATGTCTGCGTGTGTGTAAGTATTTGAATGTCCCGCAAGCCCAATGAATTATTTCAAGCAATTATTTTCTAATTAATTATTTGACAGCCCTGCGAACTACGCGATAATTTTAACATTGGTTGTGGAGCACACAACACTCGAAATGGCTAGCATTAAATTGGCCAATGTTGCTCTCTAATTCTACGCTACGGGCGATAGGGAATGCTGCCAAATGGGTTTCGGTCTATCCACATGTTGCAGCATGTTCATATAAAAGGTACTTAAATATTACTTGTATGTATTAAGGCCATGAATGAAGTAGTGCAGATTTAGGAAGAAGGCGACATGGCAACAGACATTTCAGACGAAAAAATCTAATTATATAACGACTTTTCTTAATATATTTCTGCTTTGTGTCAATTCTCTTACGCGAAGGCAGAATTTTTTGAATGTAGAATTTACTTCATTCAGTACTGCATTTAAAGAGCAACATTTTGTAACCTTATGCAATCAGGTATTATCATTGTCGAAATTGAATATGCTGGAAATAATATTGTTAAAATTATAAAACTGTCGCCAGTCAGTTTTATGGTTATAAACGAAATCTAGTAGGAAACGTCTTAAAGACTAACACTCATTTAAATGCCATAAAGTTGAAAGTATTCCTAA